TTTATTTATTTATTTTTAAGATTTTATTTATTTATTTGACAGAGAGAGACACAGCGAGAGAGGGAACACAAGCAGGGGGAGTGGGAGAGGGAGAACCAGGCCCCCCACCGAGCAGGAAGCCCGATTCGGGGCTTGATCCCAGGACCCCGGAACCATGACCCGAGCCGAAGGCAGATGCTTAATGACTGAACCACCCAGCCACCCCTGTTTTGAAAATTTTAAAACTGGTATTGGCTTTTTGAAAACATTACAGAACCATAAAGTAACAAAAGAGAAAAGTCTGCCCTTACCTTTCCTCCAGTCCTCGCCCCCAAGGCATGTGCTCTATGGACAGGTGTTTAACCTCCTAGATCTGTTCAGTTGTACTTCCATATGTATCTATCTTTATAGTTTTTCCAAAAAGTAAAAATGGGGCTACACCATACTTAGCTGCTTTTTCCTCAGCGGCCTATCATGGACCTCCTTCCAGGTCAACACACCAAGACTGACCTCCTTTTGCTGCATAGTGTCCCCACATTTTCATGGACCACATGCAGGAGACTTTCGTCTGACTCAGAATATCTGGGTGGTCTGTGACCACTGCTCAAACACTTGTATATACACACATCCACCTCCTCTTTTGTGTATTTTGGTAGGGTAGTCCTTGCAAGGGGAGTTGCTGAATCAGGATTTGAAGGCAGGATGAGGTGGGTGGTCCGATATGCCCGCAGCAAGAGAGTGCTCTTTGCTCACTCGTACCAACACTGGATGGGGCCAGTCCTTAATGTTTCAGCCAACTTGATAGGTGGAAAACAGCCCTCAGTCTCCCTGCATTGCCTCCATTGCTAGTCGGTGGCACTGACATCTTCTAGAAGGCTGAGCTATGTCATGTGCTGCCACGAAAATTGCTAAGAGCTACGCGGAACACCTTCACACAGCAAAACCCAAAATGTGGTAAGCCTGGAACACCCCAGTGTTAGCTCTAGGTGCATCTGGGTGGCGGGCCTTTACATTCACCATAATTAGTGTGTACTACTTTAATTTTATTTTTTGAACCTTTTGTTGAAGTGTAATACGTTCAGAAAAGCACACATATCATAAACGTATAGCTTTTTAGATTTTCACAAACTGAACATGCCTGTGTCAGCACCCTCTCAGGAAATGTTGCCAGAACCCTAGAATTCAGCTTCGGACCCCTCCCAGTTACCACCTCCCACCCCAGCGGGGGGCAACCATTCTCCCGATTAAAACCAAGGATTCCTTTTGCCTCTTTCTGGAGTTAATATAAAGTGAACCCTACGGTCCGATTCTGTTGTGTTTGGCTTCTTCCCCTCTCCTTTATGTTTTCAGATTCACCTATGTTGTGTGGTTGCGATCCGTTCATCCTCATTGCTGCATAGAATTTGAATAGACCACAATGTATTTATCCAGTCTACTGTGGACACTCATTGGAACTGTTTCCAGTGTGGGGCTATTACGAACAATGCTGCTATAAACATTCTTGTTAGTGGCTTTGATGAATATTTTCTGTGAGCCATATTCCTAGGTTTGCTCCATTTAAAAAAAAAAAATGGAGTGAAATTTACATACACTGAAATGCACAGAATTTAGAGGTGCAGTTCAATCCATGTGGCTGTTTGGCAGTTTTTTTGTTTTTTTGGTTTTTTTTTTTGAAGTTAAACATACATCTACCCGATGACCCAGCAATTCCACTCCTAGATATTTATTCAAGAGAAATGAAAACATAAGCCCACAAAAGCCTTGCCCAAGAATGTTCATAACAGCTTTATTCATAATAGCCAAACCCTGGAAACGACCCAAGCGCCCGTCAGCAGGAGAACAGAGAAACAGTGTGTTCACAGAGTGAACGCTGCTCGCTGCTAGGCAGTAGAAAGGAGCGAGGCACTGAATCGCTCACAGTGGGATGAGCCTCAGACACAGGCCGAGTCCTTACTGTGTGCTCCCCTTTCTGTGACATCCTAGAGCAGGCAAAACTAACCTGGCTGACGGAAGGGATGGACTGGGAAGGGGCTGGCTGGGGGCACTGACAAGGGGACTGCCTAGGTGATGGAAATGTTCTGTGTCTTCATAGGGTAGTGTAAATACCACTTTTATACTAAAAAAGAAAGTGATTCTGTTATTCTTTACGAGGCAGATCAGAATGACGGCTGAAATGGGCAGCATGGTCGGCAGGGGGGCGGTGGGAACTTGCCTCAGAATTCTGCTTTGGGCTGCTTGAGGAGGTACCCAGCGCTCAGGAGGCATTTATCACCTAGAAGCTGCCGCAGCCAAGGGCATGAGGAATGACTGTAGCCGGGGCTGCCAGGACAGAGAAGCTGGGAAGATAGTGGCTGATAATAAAGTGTTCAGTGGTGGTGCTCTAGTTTGTTTCTTTAAAGATTTGTGCAGAAAGTGAAGTTGCCTAATCTCTGTTGACATCTGAGCAGTGCTCTTTTCTTTTGTTAAGGAAAGAAGAAAAGAGAAAGCTGAAATTGAGTAGTAAGTGGAGTATCGCTGTTTTTCTAACTAGTCAGTGCTTGAGAGCAGTCTGACCTCGTCGGCCAGCCAAGTGCCTTCCACATATTAAACACTTGCATGGATAATGGAAATGACCCGGGGACACACTGTGAGGGGTGGGGCTGGAGTATGGCTTGTGCAGGCTCTCGGGTCCCAGTGAAATGTCCACACTTGCACTCTGGGGGACTCTCAAGGCATCTCCACTATCCATCATGGAGGTGGGGTTCCTGCCCAACCACCCCATTTTGAGTCTCCCCTCATTTCCAGTGGCCCCTTTCCTGCTAGACCTCACCTCTCCGTTCTCCGGGGGATCACCATTCCCAAATGTGCTGGTCACCACCAACACCAGCGTCTCATGCTCAAGGGACACCACATCGTACTCATCCATGCACAGGACCTGTGGACGAGGAGAAGACTGATGTCCCAGGGACTTGGCCCCTGCTTTCCTGGCACTTCTACCCTGACCCTCCCTGGCAGGGCACAGTTCAGACCCTGACTCAGGCCTGGACTCAATCCCTGAATCCATCTGGATCCCAGGCTTCCTCCTGGGCTCTGACTTGTGACCCTCTTCTGTCCTCCAGGGCACATCTGAAGTTACGGATGGGCCCCCTCCCCCTTCCCAGATCCCCACTCCACTGGGCTTAGCCCTACCCTGGGGTCGAAAGCCTTCCGGAAGAGTCTCCCCAGCTGCTGGGCGTAGCTCTGGGCCCGGCCGGTCTCGGAGCCATACAGGATGGTCGCCTTCACTCGCTTTGCCATCACGGTGCCCATGAGTGAGGCAGAGATCTTCACCGCACTGCAGGGGAGGGCAGGGTGAGGGCGGTCCCAGGCACACCGAGCCAGGGCCTCCCCAGGTGCATGGTCCAAGCAAGGTCTTGGGGCGCTGAGTGGTGGGTGTGGGGAGGTGGTGGGCCTCCCCATTGCTAGAGCTGGTCCCCCGGGTGTGGGGGAAGGGCAGCACTCCTAGGGCACCTACTTGGCCACTTCCTTAAAGGTCTTCTTCCTGGTGATGCCGGCACCCTTGGATGCACTCCCCTTCCACGGGTCTGGCTGCAGGGGAGTGATGGGGGAGTGGAGGAGGAGATAAGTAAAACAAGCATTTGGAGGCCCCCGGGGGCTGCTTCGTTAGAGCTGGCCACAGTGGGCGAGAGCCAGCGGGGTGGGCACCTGATAGCGGAAGGCCGGGGACAGGACATAGTTGACCATCTCCTGATGGAAGACAGGGGTGAGGCTGCCAGAGATGGGGGGCACGATCCAGGCCCAGTCGGCAGGGCAGCCCCCCCTAGCCTTCTGCTCATTCTCCAGGTGCTTCATGAAGGAGGCGGTGGCAGCGTGGTGGTCCACGATGGTCACTTTGGCCAGCTGGGGTTGGGGAGGCAGGGGCTTAGACTCAGCCTACAGACTCACACTTCTGTGACCCCAGTCACCGCTGTGCCTTGGGTCACCCCGCATCTAACACATGCTGTGTTTTCCCACCGTGCTGTCACCCCTAGCTGCAGCCTGTGTGGCGCGCCCAAAACTCAACAGTAGCAGCTCCAGTCTCCCACGTCTGTCTGTCCTGCCCCTGAACCAAAACATCCTGAACTCTGGCCAAGTTCTCAGCAGGTGCTAGTTTCCTCAACCAACAATGCTCAGCAGGCCTTCAGTCCTGGAGTTGGTGTTTCCAGGATCCAGGGGGTCCCACACATCATAATACCCCCTCTGCCCTGGGGGCCTGCATTACTGAGCATGTCCCAATCAGCAGGGCTCCAAGCACACTCTACCCCCATACTGTGCGCCTGGAATAGTAGGTGCTGTGTCCCTAGAAGCGCAGGCCCAGTGTGCCCCCTGGACCGTGGTACTCCTCCCAGCTGTGTCCAAGGCCTGCCCCCGTCTATAGGTGCCGCCCTCTTTTCCAGCCCCAGCCCCTCCCCTCCTGGCCGGTGTGGGTCTGTACCTGGTAACTGTGCAGCACAGCCAAGTTGATTTCCACCGCTGCCTTGTCTTTCCACAGCGATGAGGTTGTCCTGGTATCCAAGTCCATGCAGACCGCCACATCCTGGGAGCGGGGGTGCAAGGCATTGGTAGGGACAAGTATGGGGGGAGTGGACGGAGAACATCTTTGGAACTCATGACTAGAACGAGTGAGGGTGGGTAGGTGGCCATCGAGAGGCCAGACTGCTTAGTTTGGGGCTGGTTCAGGTTCTTCCCTGCAAAGGCACCCCTGAGCAGAGAGGGACCCTGGGCCAGTTACTTCTCTGCCCCGGATCTTAACTTCTCGTCTCTAAAATGACATTGTTTGCAAGATCTGCCTTGAGAATCTGAGGAAAGCTATAGAACTATAGATCCCAGAAAAATAACTGCATATTTGTACCCACGCATGTACACTCCTTTGCCCCAAATTCGCCGTCCCGGAGCCTTCCAAAATTCTAATGTAGGAGGCAGCCTGGGCCTCACTCAGGTTCTCCCAGTTGCTGACAGGGTGGGGACCTATTTGCGAGTCACAGGTTCCGGCCCAAAGGGGATGCATCCCCTTCCCTACCCACGGGTCCTCACCTCCAGGATGTTATATCTGTGAGGGTCACACAGGTTCCGCGTGCCAATCTCAGTGCTCATGTACCAGCCGCTGAAAGGGGCCGCAGGGAACTCCAGTCCCCCGATTTCCAGCAGCATGTTGCTCACCGCCGGGAGGGCATACCAACGCAGGCCCAGGGCTGCAAACCACTCCAGCCTGGGGGTGTCCGGGTGGGGGATCAGGCTGCCTGTGGAGCCTGGCCTGCCTGGCCACCCCAGGGCATCCCCTCCTCCACCTGACTCCAGTCCCTCTCATGCTCACGTGGGGTGTTCCAGGGGCACCTCGAGGACCAGCTCAGGGGGCAGAGCAAAGAGTTCTGGGGGCTCATCTGGGGCCTGGAGCAGTAGGGGCAGCACGTCAAAGCGGCCGTTTCCTGGGGTCCAGCCGTGCTGGATGCAGAGCTGTGGGGAGCAGGGTCAGAGGTAGGTCTGAGAGGCCCAGCCTCCTGCACTCCTTGGGGACCCCCTTCATTGGCATCTTCCTCCTTCATCTCAGAGTCCCCCCTCCCTGCTCCACTGGCCACTCTTTGGCTGGACCCCCACGCCCCCTCCCAGAGCCCTCATTGGCTGGCCTCCCCCTGCTCTGCCTCTCTGTGCCCACCTCAGTGATCTCCACGTTGGCTGGGTCCCCCCGCACCGAGCCGTCCTGCTGCCTGTAGCCCGCATAGCGCACCAGTTGGCTGTTCCAGATTCGGAAGTCTCCGCGGCCTGGGGCGCGCTGGGGGAACACTGTGATGGCCGAGCTGACACATGAGAACGACAGGTGTCAGAGCCCCGCCTTCACTGCCACCGCGGGGAGGGGTGGCATCTGGCGCAGTGTAGAGGGCACTCACCGGAGGTTGCCCCGGTTCGTGGCATACTTGATGTGGTTGCAGATGTAGGTGAACATCTCTTGGGCAGAGCTGCAATCCCGGGCATCGAACACCTGAGCCAGCCGAGGCAGGGGGATGGGGGGCGGGGGGGAAGGGCTCTTGAGTCTCAGCTCTAGGAGAAGGTGAGGAGGCAGGGGAGGGAGTAGCCACCTCCTCTGCAGCCTCCAAAGGCTGCCGGGGTCACTTGTCACGGTTCTTTCTCCTCCGGGGAGCCTCCCTGACCATCTGCACCCACACTGACCCCGCCTTCCTCCCCTGCACACCACACACCCAACGTAGCCTGGTCTGCTCCTTATCTCCTTGCTGGGACATCTCCCCACCGCTGCAGAAGCTGACTCAGTACCTGATACAGAGGAGGGACCCAGTCACTGCCAAACTGATGATTGGGGAAGGGCACCAAGTGACAGGGAGGCCACCTAGGGGTGGGGGTGGTGAGTTCCCCATTACCCATGGTGCTCAAGCAAAGGCAGGTGACCCCAGCCAGTCAGCAGACTCTCCTTGAGCACACTGATGATGGGAAGGTGGTTGGCCGCACTAGGTGGCTGTCCGGGGAATCTGCCCATCCTGACATTCTGATGCTAGGAGAAGCACCTTGACTGGCTGAGTGGGGCCACCAGCAGGGAGCTGGGAGGTCCCTTGCCTGCTTGTGTTAGTGACAGAAGCAGGGGGTGGCAGTGGCTGGTCTGGGGCCAAGGAAGGGATGTAGCAGTGAGTGGGATCCAATATGGAAGCTCTGATGGGTTCAGAGTTGAGCTGGAGCTTTGAACAACTTCAAGGGGATGCAAGTATCAGACAGGATCGTTCTTTTATTGGAGACTCCTTTGGGGATTTACTGAGCATGTGGCTTCATTCCAAATTCTTTGGTGGCCAGCTACAGCTAAGGAGGCCCAGGTCATGGATTAAGTTCCCCTGTGGGTCAGCTTGCTTCTCTTAGGCCATTCCAGTGGTGGGAGTGTGAAGGAGTGAGGCCAAGGTGCTGGAGGATTGGGCTGGACAAGTAGGGCCACCAGGGAAGAAGCAGCAAGGGGCCTTTTCCAGAAGAATGCTTCTGTTGCTCAGACAACCCCCACCCCCCCCACCCGATCACTGCCCAGCTGTCCTCACTGACTCAGTATGTTTGGGTGTTTCTCTCCGCAGCCAGCCAAGGCATTGATATGGGGCTTAACAACCAGGTGTTAGCTATTGGGCTGAGGGCTCCCCAGGGGTACCAATCTCTGAGGGAACGGGCAAGGATCTCCCTGCTGCTTGGGACCCCATAGGGGGTCCTCAGGAGCTGCCCTCACTGCTCCTTTCCTTTTCTCTCCCCCAGTCCCGATCCTGGGTGCTTGCTGGCCAGCCACACCTGCAGCTTCCCCCACTGGATCCGGCCTACACAGCGGGGAGCATTTCGCCAGGCTTGCTTGGCCCCGAACACCAGCTCGCTCTCCCGAAGCTGGTAGGTGCCCGTGGCTGCTACCTCTGCTTCCACTTCCTGAAGCCTCTGCTCATGGGCCTGGGAGCCGCTCCTGTTGTGGAAAGGGGAGCAAAAGAAAGTCACATTGGGGGGAGAGGCTCCCCAGGCTTTGTGTGGGTGTTGGGGGGAGGTTGGTGGGTGCTGGAGTCAGGGTGGGGGATGGGAGTGTGTCCTGGGGAAGGTGATCATCCTTTCGAGGGCTTGGTAGGACCAGGGCCCCACGTCAAAGGACAAGGGTGGGCTGTGGGTCTCAAGGCATGGTCTCACCTCTTGATGGAGCTATAGTACTGGGTGATGAAGTCCCTGGCCTGGCTCAGCAGCTGCTCAGGGGACGGAGGGTCCTGAGGGGGCCGGCTCTGCAGTTTCCGTGGAAATACCAGGGAGCCCAGGCAGCGTCTGGGGGTGCAGGGCCCATCCTGGGTTGGGGTGAAGGGCAGAGGCAGAGAGAGCAGGGAGCATGGAGGTCAGGACCAGGTCAGGGTGCAGAGGCAGCGTGGGGAGCCAGAGGGAGGGTGGGTCTGGGCAGGTGTGGGTTGAGGGCTGGGGCTGGGACTGGAAATCGGGGTGAGGTTGGGCTGGGTTGTGGCAGGACTTGGGGCAAGGGCTGGAGGCTAGGAGTCACCAGAGGCCCCTGTGTGTCCCTTAGCTCCTCTGGCTCTTCCCAGTGTCTCTCTGAGTTCAGGAGGGGACTGGCCGTAGCCATACTGACCCTGACGTGGGATGGAGAGGGCTCCCGGCCTTACCTGCTGTGACTGGGCGCTCAGGGTGTCGTAGGTGATGCTCCCCACCTCCCAGTTCTTCACACGAGGGAACTTGGGCCCGTCCGGTGGCCGGGTGAGCGGGGGGCTGCTGGGACCCAGGGGAGGGGTCATGGGGGAGGAATGTATTTCCTTCTGGATGTGCCCCTAGAGACCCCTCCGGCAACATTAATAACCCCAGTGACTATTGCTCGCCTGCCTCACGCTTCCTTACGTTTCCTCTGTCAGCCCTCACAGCCACCTTAGGAGGTAGACGGTATTAGCATCCTCATTTACAGATGAGGGACCTGAGGCTCAGAAAAGTTAGGAATCTTGCCAGAGGCCCAATGGGCAGGATCAGGTCCCTTCAAAACCCAGGCCCGCCTGTCTCTTGTGTCTCCAGAGCCTGGGCTGCCCAGGGCAGCAGCGGCGAGCGCCTGAGCCCCTGACCCAAGGCTGGGTCCTCATCCCTCTTCAGGGCCCACCTCGCCTCTTCTGGGTGCGGGGTGTCCCACCCCCTGGAGTTGTGGTGAACCCTACTTTGAGGGGGACGGAGCCCGTGGCTGAGCTGAGGGAAGCCCCCGCAGGGATTCCTCAGCCCAGATTTCCCTCTCCACTCATACCCTTCCTGACAGTAACCATCGTGTGAAGGGAAGCCTCAGAGGCCTTATCACTTCCTCCCAGAGGCTGAGGCCTGCGTCGGGGAGGAAGGGAGGGACTCGGACCTCGGGTGCGCCGGTGCGGAGCCTTCCCCGCAGAGCTACCTCCAGCCCCTGGCCACCCTGCCTGGCCTGGCACCCCACCTGGCCTCCAGCTGCCCTTTCTCTCTTCTGGGGGCTGAGGATGCCAGGTTAGTTTCGGGGTTGACGGCCACTAGGAGGTGGGGCCAGGAGTCGAGGAAAAAGGCCTGTTTGCTCTGTCTTTTCAGCCTCCCACCCCAAGGGCCTGAGTCTCCTGGGCCAACTCTCTCCCCTTTCTGTGAGCGGGTCTTCTCACTCTCCCGTAACTATCCTCCGCAGCCTCTTTTTTCTGTTAAATAATCATCAGTGTCTGTTGAAGGCTTGCCATGAGCTAGAAACTTATAACAGTTCCATGGAGTAATCACTGCTCTGTCCTTATTCTATATACATGAAGGCTCAGAGAGGTTAAGTGACTTGCTCAAAGTCAAACAGCTCTTGGCACCAGAGCAGCACTCAAACCTGGTCAACTGGCACCCTTACCCCCTGCTTTCACCTGTTGCCTGCTGATCCTGATCCTGGTTTCTTATCTGAGCCTCCCTGATTGTCCTGTTCTTTCTGTACTGAGCCCTTTTGTGTGGGGGCCCCGGACCTCCTGGCTGAGCTATAGGCTCCAGCCCTTGCCAGCCCGGGGCTCCTGGGCCTGACGCCCTCCCTCTTGCCCCCTGCCTCTAGCCGCCCGGGCCCTTACCTGAGGTCTGGTGCTGGTGGGGGCGCGGGTGCTGGTGCCCTGCTGGGCTCTGAGGAGGTCGGGGAGGCAGGGCCCTGCTTGCCGCACAGCCCCAGGCCCAGGCCCAGCCCCAGGCCACATGGGGGCCTGGGCTCCTGGCCCACACTCTTCAAGTTGCCCATGTTCAGCCTTGCCTCAGCTCTGGCCCTCCAAGCAGAGCCCAGACCTTTTCCTTAGGAAGGGGAGGGGGCAGTGGGAGGGGGCTCTCTGGTGCTGGCCCTTGCCCCGCCCCTGCCCCACACACAATGGGACAGGAACAAGGCAGGCTGGGAGGCTCTAAAGGCTCGGCTCCATGCCCGCCCAGAGGGTGGGGGGCCGGACGCCTGGGTTCCGCTCGGAGGACTAGGACTGATAAGTGGGAAGCCAGGTGTTCTTGGAGCCCTGGGGCTGGAGTGCAGGAGCAGGGGTGTGTGTGGGGGGGTGTAGGTGGGGGTAGGGGGTAGGGGTGGAGTTGGCAGGGTGGACAATCAGAGGGTCAGAGAGGTCCTTGTGTGTTGTCTGGCCGGAGCAGAGGACTTCCACCTTGCCCTGGCTGGCCTTGCTCTGAGGGGTTGGGGGGGGGGGAGGTGAGCACTGTGTCAACATCAGGGGATGGTTCCCATACTCTGAGTGACCACAGGGACCTCTAGGGTCACTGCAGGTGCTCTCCTTCCCTGCCCTGTCTACAGCTAAGCACTCCTGGACCCCCACCTTGGAATGCTTTGGAGATCTTGGGGATACAGCTCAGCAAGGATGCAGTGACCCTTTGTCCTTGAGTCTGGCATTAGGGTATCCCTTCCCCTCCCAGCCCCAATTTCCTGGAACCCCCGCCCCCCATGACTCAAGTGGGGGACACAAAAGAGCAGGAAGCTGCCATCCAGGGCCTCCACCCCCACCCTGTCATCCAGTGACGCATGCTTCCCTGGGGGTGGTAGGTCAGCAGATAGACCCAGCAGTCAGTGCTGAGCAGGGACTGCCCACTGGGAAGATCTTGGAGCCCTAGCAAGAGCATGGGGCTAGGGAAACTACAATTCCCAGAGTGCAGATGGTGCACACCAGCTCTCTTCACGTACCTTGGGCAGTCATGCAAACTGGGGTTTGTAGTTCTAAGCCATTGGGGGGCTGGAGAAAGTCCATGAGCAGGGGCATCTGGGTCTGCAGGAGTCTGAGCCTCGTGGATTTGAGACCACAGAGACTAAGAGAAACTGTGGGCAAGAAACGGAAGTTGAGAGACTGGGATAGGCAGAGACTGGGAGAGGCAGACAGGCAGACAAACAAACACGTAGATTTGTGTTGGCTGGACTCCTTTGAAAAGCAGTGGAGGATAAGATTGGGGTGGGCCTGGGTGGGAGCCGGGCAGGCGGATCAGCCGGAAGGAACAGGCTGTGCTGCGAGCTCTGGGGTCATACCAAGAAGTTAGGGTCGGCCAGTTTGGAGGGAGGAGGGCGAGGGGACCTTGTAACCATGGAGAGGCCTGAGCTCCTGGACACCTGGAGAGCTTTGCTGCCCCTCTCTCACAAAGGGGCAGGTGGGAGTCAGAAGCACAAGGCCTATGCTCAGTCCAGACCTGTCCTTACGGCCCCCGGAGCCTGAGGCTCCGCCCCACTCACCCCCCTTTCCCAGCAAGGCAGGAGGCGGATCCAGGCCGCTACCTCTCAGACATCTTCACCAGACCCCATTTCTGGTTCCCATTCAGCCACTACCTAAAATGCACATGACCGGGAAGGACTCTACCTACACTCCAGGTAATGGAGCAGTGGCTGGCCTCCTCAGGGACAAGGTGACAATAAGCATCAGATGCTGAGTCCTCCTGAGCAGTTGCCTGCACCATTTACCAAAGTCACTCCCTGTGGTCTCCTGACCTTGGGACCTCCCCTCCCCTCTGTGCTTCCCACTGCTGCTAGAATCATCTCAAAAGCAGGGCTCACCTCTTGCCCCGGCCCTCCCTGAAACCTTCCACCCAAGGCCAAGGCCCAGTACCACCCTGGCCCAGCCGTCGATTTCCCAAGTATGCTGCTCACACCTTCTGTTCTGGACAAAGGGGCTTCCTCATGGATCCCCAGACAGTTTTCAGGCCCTTGCCTGTTGCTGTCCCTCGATCTCACCCTTTGCCCTCTGACTAAAGAGAATCTTTCTTCCTCTTCCTCATGGCTCAGCCCTGGCAGCTCTGGAGGTAACCTGCCCAGGTCTCCCTTCCAGAGAGAACCTGCTATAGGAACTGCCTGCCTTCGGAATCTGCCCAGGGCTCAAGGCCACATGCTCCCCTGGAAGCTTCCCTGAGCCATGGGGGGTCTGTGGGCTCGCCAGTTCTGCCCAGCCGGCACTCCTCTGTGGCCAGTCTTGATGCGGAGCCCCTGTTGGCCTGGCAGAGAGCTTCTCAGAGCTCACTGTGCTCTGAGCCTCTTCTTCGCTGATTCTTCTTCCTTCTCTCCTTCCATAAATATCAGAGCTGCCTCCCCGTTATCTTTCGCAGACACGACCCCCAATCAATCTCTTATGAGATGTCCAAGATGGGGCACTTTCTGGCCACAGGGAGATCGGGGACAGTTCCACACAGCACTGGTGGCTGTATTGATGTTGATCTGGGCCGAGGGAGCCATGGCAGAGGTTTTAGGAAGAGGAGAAAGAGTCAAAGGAGAGACAGAAAGGCTTTGTCTGGGAAGGTTTTCTTCTCCCACTTTTCCTAGGGCTGTGGCTGGCATTGGCCCCGGTGTCCTAACTTCCATCGAGGGACTCTAGCCTTCCCAAATCTTCCAGATGGGGAGACGGGGCCTTTCTCTTTCCTCCCCAGGGCCCTGCCCAGTCTTGTCTCTCTCCACCTTGCTCTTTGTCTGTCATCCCTACTAGGGCATTAAGGCTTATGCGGCTCAGTGGCCCACTGCTCTTATTAGCAACCGCACTTTGAAGAGTAATTTCTGAAAAGACAAAATTTTCAAGACCCACAGACTTGAAGTTCCACTGAGAGGCAAGCAATTTTAGCTTTGAATTGTGGGATTTTGCGCTGGAAGGTCTTTGGGAGCCCAGCCCCTGGGTCTCAGGGATTGGCTGTGTTCTTTGCCATTGGGAAGGCTGGTCCAGACCCCACCCCCATCTGCCTTGGTCAGTGCAGGTGACAGACCCTTTTGTGGGTAAGTAGCCAGGCCCATGGCTCCTCCTTTAGAAGGAGGTAAATCTTTTTCCTGTCTTCCCTTCAAAGCAGAGCTCTGGGCAGGGCTTGAGATGGGATGCCCTGACCTTGGGGGAGGGAAAGCTCTGGCCTTGAAGGGCGTGCGTGGGGCTGTGGGGGCTGTGGAGGGTGGCGGGTGACGGGAGCGGAAGGCCCTGACTCTTTATAGCCCAACCCGGAGTTGTTCAGTGTGAGCTGGAAGTGCCCCACCCTCCCCACTATGAGCAGCTTCCTTCCTGCCTGCTGGCAAGGCCTGGGTGGGGAGCTGAGGGAAAAGGAGGCAAGGGAAGGGGGGGAAGCCAGCAGAGGGAGGGGAGCAGCCCTTCTTTAGTTTAGGAGCCTCTGTCTGATGTAACTCATGCTGTGCTGGGAGGTTGGGTTGGGAGCTGAGAGGTTTGCCCAGCTTCCCGATTGCAAGGTGGAACTGGATATTTCGGGAAGGGCTTTGGGCAGGGTCTGGGGTATTTAGGACTCAGGCAGTGGGAGATGTTGCCCTTCTAAAAGGGGCTCCTGAGCGTGCACTGGGGAGCCATCATGCAGCCCCAACCCTTCTTAAGGAAGCCACATGAGGGCAGCAGAGAGCTGAAGAGAAGAGGTTGGAGCAAAGGCCTGGGCTCAGGCGTCCCTAGACAATGATACCCAGAATGAGCAAGGGCCCAGTGGCACGTGCCTCTGGGCCCAGCTGGGGTGGGGGGTCCACATTAATCCTCTGGGACCCTGAAGTGGTTCATTTGCATAAGCCTGGAGGTCCTGATGATGACTCTGGGACCAGCCCACTCCAGGAGAACAGGGGTGTCTTCTCTTGGGAAACCTCCCTGCTTCTGCACAGACCATGCCAGGTAGGGTGAATCGAAGGCACAGGGAGTGATGTTCAGCACAGCCGGAGGCGTGAGCACCAGGGGCCATGGCTCCTGAGGGAGGAGGCAGTTGCAGCCGCTGCTGGGGAGTTGTGGGAAAGAGTGCAGGGGCCTCACTCTGGAGCTTGTAACTGCCGCCCCTGTCCCACAGGTGGGCTCCCAAGGGCACGCTGACCCTTTTCTGGATACTCTTCTGTCTCCTGGCTTTCAGATTGGTAGGAAAGTGAGGGGGCAGAGAGACCTCTGAGAATCTTAAGACCTTGCCCTGAGTGACCCGTGACTATCAGCCTTTGGGGACTCCTGGGGAGTTTGCACTAACTTCCTGAGAGAGACCTGGGTATCTCCAGACCTTGATTCTCCTGGAGGTTTAGACTCTTTCTGCTGAGCCAGAGCCCTGAGCAGATTTTGTGCCCATGCCTGTGTGTGTGTCTGTTTGTAAGTAGGAACATGTGTGAGTGTGTATGGATGTGTGTGAATGTGTGTATATATGAGTGAATATGTATGTGTATGTGTGCATATGTGTAAGCACACATATCACACATATGTATGTGCCCTTGGGCAGTGTTTCCTGGAGCTCCCTCCTTGACCTGCCTCCTCTTCTAGTTCCTGTCCCTTCAAAGCTAATTTGAACTGAGAACATCAGGATGGATATGAATGTTTTCACATCCATGGGGACTTGAAACTGCCCTTTGTTCCTGGGATCCAGAGTGAAAATGGGGAGTTTTTAGGGTCAAGCTGGGGTCTCCTGAATGATGATCATGGGGGCCCCTGATGTAGGCAGTGGAGGCTCCTCAAAGAAGGCCACAGTTGTCAGGGATCAGTCTGACAGGCCTGCCCCCGTTCCCCCTCCGGCCTCCCCTCTTTTCTCCTCCAGCCCTTCAGCCTGGCCCAGTTTCCTGGTGTGGTTGCTGTGGTGCTGGGTCTCTTGGGAACTGGGCCTTTGAGCATCAAGTGTGCCCAGCCTGGTAATTCCATAGCAACCATCATGAGGACTGGCTGGGCAGAACCCCTTCCGCCTGCTTCTCAGGTGCCCTGGGGAGGGACCAGGCCCTCTCTCTAACCCAGGGGGAGAGGAGAAGCCTATAGATAGATCCTCTAGATTGATTTGTGAAATACAGAGACCCTGATCCCAAACCCTGATAGACCTTTAG